TCAAAATGGGAAAATGCTTTAAAAACTTCAAACTTGTTCTTTATTAACCCGCATTTGGCTTTTTGAGAAACAGTTAATGCCAAATTAAAATGCGGCATGAACTTTTTAAAATTTCTGAAAAAAAACTGAGTTTCAGTATGAATGTTCGAGAAATACGACATCGTTCTCCTATGACTGATAAAACAGTGAAATCAGTTAGTCAGAGGACAGTTTGTAAGCAATGTTTCGGATGTCTGAAATACAGTGGACTGTGAGAGAAAACATAATTTACACTTACAGGAATATGAGCATGTACAAGATGTGCTTTCTGTCTTTTCAATTCCTCCTTGATTAAAGCTGAAAAGATGAAAGAAATTGTAATGCTCATGGTTGCGTCAACTACCTGTCAATACTGTACCCACCAAGAGTACCATTGTCATGATAATATTGCATGCGAAAATGCTAACACCATGCATTACATATCCCATAAATAGCGTTAAAATTATGCCGAAAATCTAAAAAAATGTGTGAAAATAACATTTATGCTAAGTCAAAAAGATAAATACCTGAGCACTTGCGTTCAGAAGTCCCGAAGTTGTACCTTCAGCTGCAGGGTAAGTAATTTCAGCAGCAAACTCAAAACCAATCGGTAGATATCCTGTCATGAAGAAGCTGTAAAATCAAAGATGATGTTTGGAAATGAACTCGATGTTACCCTAAGAGAAACGCGTTCAGGAATACTATAGCGATTGATCCCATGTTAAGAGTGAAAGTGAAGGACAGCATCCCAAGGAAGGAGAATAGATAAACGAGAATAGTGGTCCATCTGTAGTACTAACTGTTATAAAGATTATTATAAAAATCTAACTTGAATTTTTTGAATTTATCCAACGAGTATCCTCCAACTACCGATCCAATCATTCCGGCCAATACAATAACCAAACCAATCTGACCGACTGTCTCAGTCTCATCAGGATAGAAGGATAAGACCATTTGAGATAAAAGAGTTGAAACAGCATAGAAAACCCCGGTGTTTATACCTGAAAATAAGATCTATCTCATAGAATTCGAATACTCTGATTCAATTCATCAACAACTTCCATTGCATATGTTCTTAATGCTCAATTTAATGCTCGTTTTCACACTTTTAATTTTCTTTTTATGATCTTTGTTCCTATTCAATTCTAATAGATTCTTGTTTTTACCTATTATTCTCCACACCTACATGTAATCTTTCAACTTATTCTCCACACTTTGCTTCCGGGCTAAGATTAAACGCTAATTACCATATGTTACAAAGAGTAGTACAAAGTTCCTGGATGTCAAGAGGCTCGCCAAGGTGCTCCAAAAGTTGGAATCAAAAGCTTTTTCTTCCTGAGCCGTTAGTTGGGCCAAACTGGGAGGCACAGAAGGCTTTGATGTAAAGACTGCAACAACGTAATGACAAATAGCACAGAGATCACTTCAAATGAAAGAAGTTCTTTGAAACACTTACAGAGAATTATTAAGACAAAGATGAGCGTGTTCACAACTGCTGATGACAAAAACAAAACATTCAAATCCCAAGCAACAGCGTTTGTTGTCCCGTTGTGAACTAGCAAAGGAGGAAGCACAAAACCTACGGCTATTCCAAGCTTCAACACATCAAACATTTAAGAACTAAAAGCTGTTATTTACTTGATTGCCGAACACACCAGCTGCACAAGCTGTGGATACTTCATCAGGTCCAAACCAAACGGCAGCCAATCTTGGAGGAATTCCTAATGTGAACATTTGTGAAGCGCCCACAATAGTTTGTCCGATGAAGGTGATCCAGAAGGCATCTGATATCAGCCAAATTATGATAACATTTAAAACAGCAGACTCACCAGGGCTAGTGGATAAAATTTTGATCCAAGCTCCAATACAGTTTCCAGCTGCTCCAAGAAGGATCGACACACGCAAGCCATATCTATCCAGGAGCCAACTGAAAACTCACAAATTGTAAAACTTTGACATTTCCTATTTACTTGTAGTTAACATCATCATATCTACGTGTGTATGGGTGCGAAGTAGTTGAAGAGCTTGTTCAAAGTATTTACTTTTGTGTCGTTGCCAAGCCATTGTCTATCAGCAATCGAGACACAACAAGAGGACTGACAAATATATCAAAAGGCTTTACATAAGAAACTTCAGCTTATGCTTCTTTTCAGAACTTTCAAACCTTTCGCCGAATTACATACAAATAAAGTCAAAAGCATTTCCAACAAATCATATGATCTTTTGTGCTCTTTTGATCTTACGCGAATTGTTCCCCCAAACATTTCTGCTTCAATGCTACCGTATCCGAAATTATGTTACTAACAAAAGAGTTTCAAATAATCTTTAGCTTTTCTTAACCTTCCTCCCACCTTTCTTTCAAGTACTACTTTTAAACTGTTTTGTAACATTTATCTTTAAGTATACGAACAGCCTTTCAAGTGTTTGAGTGGAAAATATCGGAAAAAAGGTGTATCCGCATATCAATCAGGAAAATCAAACATAGAAGGTAAGAGGGAAGCCGAGAAAAGCTCTTTAAATTTCAAGTTACATGAACAAACTTTTCTTTGAACTATTTATATTTTATAGAAGTTTATCTTGCTCTCATTATTAAGATATGATGGATTAAGGAACTTACGCTGCTGGAATGAAGAAGAATATGTAAGTCAACATGTAAATCATGCTCGTCCAATCAACAGCCGTATAGCTGAAAACCTTTTATGTGTTGATAATGATCAATTAGGAAATACCTGACGTCGTAAAAGTCTGAGACTAATCCTGCAATGATAGAATACTGTATCCATTGTGCTCCATTACTAGCACTAAGCAAAATGAACATAATGAGGATGGCCCATCGTTTCCGAAAAACTCGTGGCTCGCTGCCGTCCATTTGTTTTTCCATCTAAATAAATCACTCTCATAATTTTGAAACATTTACAAAAATAGTTCATGTAGAAAAAAGACCGACCTGTGTCTCAGCTGCCATGGCGGTGTTGACTGGTGCAGCTGAAGCAGAAGTGACCCGCCTACTTCCCGGCTGAAAAGAAGAAGAAATCCAAAGCAAATGTTCAAAATTTCAAGAGAGGGGAAGAGATAAAGAGGGAGAAGGAAGAAAGATGTATAATGAAAGAAAATGAGAATCTTAAATGAAAAAAGTTGATAAAAATGAAGTTATTAGTCCTGAAGTGAACTATGCGTACTGTCGGAGTGAAGATAAGCTAAGTGTATTAACAGCTTGTTAGAAACTTGAAGTTGTCTGTCATATATTGACATTATTAATATAGTTACCAACTAGCATATAAGAGAAAAGAAAAAAGTTCAAAACGAAAGAGAGAGAGATAGAGAGAGATAGAGAGAGGAAGAAAGAAAAAGAGAGAGACAGAGAGAGAGAGAGAGAGAGAAAGATGTTCTTTTATCTAAAAATGACATAATTATCATCAGAAGGATAATGTTTGTTATTAAAATAAAAATATATTTTTTGTTCCATCATAGAAACAAAAAAAACATTGAAAAATACACAAAAAGAAAGTGTGTCGAATGCCAAGAAATCACTCAAAATGTTGTTTATCATCATCTCATGCGGATCATCTTCCGTTCAACAAATATGAATGTGAATTTCTTTATGGAAGGACGTTTCAAAAGTGGTTGTATTAACTATATGAATAGGATTATGTACTTCTCTACAACAAATCGTTTGATACAATTCATTCAAGCTATTGAGAAGTTATGATAATCGTCTTACAACCTTATATACCTTCTAATCCTTAGATTTTACTTTAATGTTTCAAAAGTTGATATATGTGTGTGAATGAATGTTATAAATAGGAAATATGGAATGTAGAAATGTGTTAAAGAAAACAACTCACCCCTTCTTTGATAAAGCTCTCAATGATATCTCTTGTCGACCGGATAATGGTTAACCAGTCTCCATTACCTCTGTTCTGTTGAGATGCGCTGAAACAGTTCAAACATTTCGAGAAGATGAAAGCATATATGAAAGAAAAAAAATAATTGAATGCAACTGAAGACTGAGTTCATATATATGCAAATGATGTTGAGATTCTTCTGATCATGTACATGATTAGCATATTAGCTAAGTACACACAGTATGCGTCAGAATTTAAAAAAAAAGAAAGAAAAGCCTACTTATCGTTGGATGAACCAGTTTGTTGCAAGGATGGTACATTGATAGTGTATACTTGGTTGCTCATGTTTCATTAATTATGTGAAAAATTGTTATCGATAACAACAGCTTATGAATAGATAACTTGACAATTAGAGTGATTTCACCTAATTATACAGGCAGAACTACAGAGAATGACGGATTGATTTACTTTGACACGTATGAATTCATATGAGTGATACGGTCAATAATCGTTCTCTATTCAAAACATAATATCTGTCAAAAGATACAGACATTCAAAAGTGATAATGTAGTGAACTAGTAAGTTGGAAAAAAAGGCATTCAGAAAACAGTATGGAGAGAGAGAGAATGAAAAAAACGACACTGGAAAACAGATGGCGAGGGAGAGAAGAAAGTGAAAGCTTAAGCGTAACTGTTTATGGAATGTGTTTGTATGCTCCATATGTGAAAGGGCAGCATTCTTTGATTACATGAGTATGCTGAAGAACATGCTATGTTTGTCAGTTAGCAATTCAGTTAGAGGTTAAAGCCTTATCAAAATGCTTGAAAACGTTCATGATCATGAGGTGTACTCAAGAGAGAAAAACGAAAGAGTCGAAAGAAAAATATTGAAACAAGACAAGTTATCACAGTAACAATGAAGTTGTAATATAACCAGCAGGTTTTCATATTAGAAGAAAGAATGATGGAAGTCATTGGCTGCGAGAGGGTAAACTAACACAGAGAAGGATAATCGAAGATGAAAGGAAAAAGAAAAAAAGAACCGTTGTTTTCAACAGCTCTTCAATAGGATTATTCACCTTATTTGGATTTAAATGTAACGAATTCATACAACAATATCATTTTACACTCCAAACATACATCCGACTGATTAAAATTCATAAAAACAACAGCAGAGATGGGGGAAAGACGAAAAAATAATAAAAATAATTCAACTCCCCCATGAAGCGGTAAGCGACACAAGTCCGAGTGAGGAAAGCATCGGAAGGATAGCAGTGGATGTCGCATTCCGTTAGTTCTCCTGTCATCTGATGCCAATTGACAGATCATGGACTGTCAACTTTTCATAGAAAAACAATATCTGACCAAATTTGAAATTTAAAACTTTCAAGTTTTTTTTCGTTAAAGTACGTTAAAGTTCAATCAACCAAGTATGGTAATACTACCTATGTATGCTTAGGAGTTTTTTATATAATCATTGCCTCGTACATCATAAGTTATTTCATGAGAACATTATGTTTTTTGTCTTTAAAATCAGATGTCTGATCGTCAAAACCAACTCAAATGTGTTCATGAATGGGAGGCTTTATTGCACCAAAAGTGGCGGAACACATCATGAAATAGTATATTTGAGCGAAAAAACAAAATGTCAACAAATAAAGCAAAACAAAGGAAAACGTGACGACCTCAAATACATGAAAAATGATAATTTAGTTCTTTGTTTCCTCAAATTTCATGTTTTCTTAATCGACTGACAGCAATGAGTTGTTCTCAGAGGCATGAATTCAGGAAAATCTTTACAGAAATACAAAGCAAATAACGAGGAATATGTTCAAAAACAAATTAATTATTAGCACATTAATGAGCTCAGTCTGTCATAAACGAACTCATCGTTGAATGAAAAGAAAATGTTAACTTTTCCCGCAAACACAATCATCACGGATTCCTCTCTCCGTGATAAATGGTCTCAATCAAAGGAACAGGAGTATTAGAGGATGATCATTACAAAACCACATCTCTGACTTCATTTCATTCAGAAACGTTTCATAAGCTCAGGTTATGCATGGGAAATTAAACTAAACTTGACAGAAACCTTTGAAAACATTCGAGAAATTCGAAATATACGAACGATAACATATCTTGAACCGCCGTCTTACATGACAGGAGTCAGATGTTATGCATAAAAATTCATAAAAAAAGTCATTTGAAAGAAAAACGGCATAGTAGACGTATTGTGAAGAATATGGAGACATATAGCTTCACACAACCGTACAGTCCACAGGTGAGTTAAAAATGAAATTTCAGCAAACAGTTTTGCCGCCAAATTCTATAGCTCAAATGACAGATCCAAACGGAAGTGTTTCAATTACATTAGAGAGTTTAATGTGTATCAAAAACATAATATGAGTTTTCGTGTGATCGATGTAAACTTTAAGCTCTAAAAACTGTTGGAGCGGATAAAGAACGTTGTTAGAATGACAAATGAGAACGTTTAACGAACGTTAGTAATAGCTTATAGATGAAACAATCAATTAATCTATGTGGTTTTTAGGGTTCTTCGCGTGAACTCAAAAATATTATATATTATTGGGTTGATATTCTTAATATGTCAACATAAGAGGGTTTTTATGGAAGTGAAATCGATCTCGTATGCTTAAGTCGTTGATCCCGGAATTAGTCGGTAAAACAGGAAGAAAGTGCTGATCAAATAGGCCTGGCCAGCAAATTGTGATCAATGTGAGACCTTTGTTGAAGCACCTGGTCCTCTGGATCTCTTCTCAGAGATGCTGCATCTTCAGCCTTCCCTATTCCCTCATAGTTCCTATCATGAAGAAATCACGTCTAGTCTAATAGCTCACACGAGCTCATTCATCTTATTGAATGGATGATAATCCATTTGGCCTTCAATAGGAGATCACCATTGCGGAGAGCAAGAGGTACAATAATTACGCTGATAAATGTCTGTTTAATTTGTGGGAAAGAGAACATCCATTTTTCCTTAGGATATTTATGAAGGAAGGTTGAACAACGAAGTTTTAGAAATCAACAAAATATACACAACAAGATGAGAATATTATTGGAAACTATTAAGAATTGTACGTTGACAACAGGATACATGTCTCAAAGACAAGTTATAAAATAACTACTGAAAAGAAATATTAAGATAGAGCAAGAAATTGATCATAAATCTTGATGAGAAGAGGGTCTACAACTTCGGTAAACAATTCTTTACCAAGGTCTCCTGAGATCTTCGACAATTCATGATAATGCTGCAACAAGTAAATTCATGCTCAACAAGTCCAGAATGAAACTAACCATTAAGAAGACCTGCTTCATTCTACCAGACATCCATGAATACCATGCAGTTTCGAGTTCAGTATCATCCTTTTCACTATTCACAATATGTTCTGTTAGAACAAAGATGAATTTCTGTAAACAAGCATAGATGGATACGAACTAAAAAAATCGACTAACATGGATTACGTCGAAGAAAAGTGTTTTCTGGAAATCTAGAAGACTTTCCAACTTTTCTTTTAAGGCCGACAGTTCTTCTTGATCTTTATCTTCCACATTTTCTTCTTCCATAGGCTGAGAAACATGGTCATAACAGTCCATAGAAACATACAACATACCTCATCACCATCCTCATTCTCAGCTTTTACCTTCCTGGGTGCGCTTGCAATTTTTTTCTCTAAGAAGGCGACATCACGAGTCACATACTTAATATGACGAGACAATCCACACAAAGCAGTGTTCAGAACTTCAAAAGCCCATTGTCTAGAACGACGAAGGTAAAAAGAGAAAAATGATAGCCTACAACCTATCTGTCTCAATTTTCATATCGTCGCTGAAAATCCAATTGACAACAACAGCACAATCGAGAATTTGCATTTTCAGCAACTTGTCAATTAGTATAATAATCATCTGAAACAACGGCTGTTATCGCTCGCTCATTGAGATGGTTTACCTGATGATTAGTCTTCCAACAAGAATACAAGGTTGTAAGAATGACTTCTTGGAAATCTTCGGAAACATCAGCAACATCTTTTAATGTTGTGTGGTATCTATGAAGTAAAACGATAAACCAAACATTTCAAATCTTCTTGCAAACCTTCTGAGAGCGGCCAGGTTATGACTAACTGACTTTGAAGCTAATTTTAGAAGTACCTATAAAAATAATATAAAACAAAGAACACTTTGCGAATGCACAAACAGCAAAGAAAACACCGAAAGCTCGTTGATCAAATTCGCCGTCGCTTCCTCTAATTTCGCCCAGCATGACTTCATCTGTTGCCTTATTTTGAAAACGGTTCATGAAAATTAAGGAAAGAGAATTATCCGGATGTCCTTCTGAAAATTATGGAACGTTAATTAAAAAATTATTCCAACATACCATCTTCCAAAAGAAAACGAATATCAGGCCTTGCAGGAAGCAAGCGTTCGAAATCCTTCGGAACAATTTCACAAACGCGCTCGTAATATGAGAATCGCATGCATTTTTCCAGAACTTCACGGGCAAATATGAACTTAGAATTCCAGGTATCAAACTGAATAAAGTTTAGAACGAATTTCCGGGAAACACTAAAACCTCTAAACAGTCTCTCCAGTCGCTCCATGACCATTTGTATTGGAAGTTGGAGAGATGGAAACTGAACCAGTCAATGAATCTGGGATACACGAATGAAACACGAGTATTCAAAAAATGTGTTACCTATCCACGCATAGAGGTTGCATGCCTTCACAGCGCTGATAAAGAAGCTCAGCCGATTGAGCAAGTACTTGAGGCATTTCGTTAGGTAGAATCTTACACATCTCAATGAGTAGAGAGCCTGCAATGGCAAAAACGTGATAAATTTCTGAATAGGGACGCACCATAGAATACTTCTGTATGTGTGTGATTAGGAAGCAAAAAGAGTTGTCCAAAAATTACTTCTAACATTACGTATGACATCGGAACATCTATGACGCCTTTCGCGTATAGCACCAGTTCTTCAGCGCTAAAATCATGGATTGGTCATCAGACGGGAGAGAGTTACATACCAAATTTTACGATCAAAAGCACGATTGTCTAATATCCAAATAATATCTTGCTCAATCAAGAAACGCTCAATGGTTTGTGCTCCTGGAAGAACTGGGCTGGCCTCCTAAACGGGAACGAATAAAAAAGTTCAACTTCTAAAGTATCATACACTCTCTGGACAGTCAGTAGGATCGAAGAGACGGAAGACTACTCTTGGTAATGGATAAACGCTTTCCTTGGTGTCTTCACAAGCTTGGAAACTGTAATTTTGAACCGGAAATTTGGATCAGAATCGAAAAAAACTAACGCAGGAATGTTGTGCTGAAGAGCATTAGATAATAAATTAGCAAACGACGTCTGATATCGGGGAATGTGTTTTTCTTTCCATTCAGCCGCAACCAAGTTTTTAATTTGTTTCCATAGGCAGTCAAGATATTCTTCCTGTTCATGCGGAGTTCCACTCTCCCAAACACTTATCAACTGAAGCAAATAGAGGAAATGCAGAACTTCGTAGAAATAACTCACAGAAACGTAAGGCTTCTTCCTATCTTCAATATAACGTTCACAACCTTCCAGAATGTTGTCCAAGTTTTCTTTCTTTTTCTCTTTTAGCTCATTTCCGATGAAAGGCAACGAATGAAGAACAGCGTATATGAACCAATCAGTGCGAACCTCCAAAAGAAATTGTGCAAGGTACCTCCTGCATCTCATTTACCTGCCGAGATTCTTCAAAAGCTGCTTGAACCAATCCTTCCAGGAATTCAGCGATAGAATCAATTGTTAACACTCTTGAATTTCCGAGATCACAAACGAAGAGAATCTAAAGCTCATAATACAACTTGCAACTTAACCATCGTTATTACCATATAAAGAGCATGATTATAATTACTGGCTACCATTTTCGTAGTTATTTCAGAGTTCAACTTCTCGATCATCTGAATCTATTCATTGCAGTTTTTCAATAAACGACAATCCGACCTCTCCGCCGAAGTTGAAATATTTAGAGTTCAAGAGACCGACGAACGTAGAATAAAGCGTGATTTTCTCAGGCATGGCTAATACACTGAAATTTGAAAAGATATTTGAGATACTTATCATACGAATTTACCAAGTTAAGACGATATCCGCAATGACAACCTTGTATTTTTCTATGTTTCCCTGCTTCTCCAACACTTCATACAAACTTTCTAAGTTGCTTTCCAAGGTGGCGTTGCCATTCTAAGTGACTATATGAACAGTTTTAATGAAAACAAAGCAACCTTTTCTCCTACACGAGCAATGATATCTTGTAATTTACGCTCAGCTTCCGAGAACTCATCAGGCCCTTTTCGACGCTTTGCTGTTCTTTCGTCGTCGTCTGCATTGAAAACTTTATTATGTAATTGTTTACTCTAAAAGTACCGAACTCTGCTTTTCTCCGAAAGCCACTCATCTATAGGTGCCTGTAAAGATTAACTTGATATATTTAACATTTTTTTTTGAACTCAAAAGATAAAAAATAACCATCAACAACAAAAAAAGCTTCTTCGAATGCTTTGTTGCTAACCTACGTTCAAACAAAATATGAATGGCGTCTTTGCCATGTTTGCGCATGTTCCGTGTATCAAGCCGTATATGCATTCATTTTATAGTCAGCAAGATTATAATATTGTGTTTAGACTACTTTATATAATTTTTTATTTTGTAAAAAGTAAAAACACCGAAAACCATCTAATTTTTTGATTTCTGACGAAAATAGATTCTATTGCAACCGCTCTATGCGTTCACATACTTCAAAATGAAATAACTGTGGTGCGGTGTTACGTGAAAATCACGTAAAACAATTTAATTCGATTTGATCATGAAGTTTGTTTCATTGAATTACAACGTTTACAGGAATCGTGTTTGAGTTTTGCGTAGAATACAATGCATTATCCAATTAACTCATACGAATAGTGGAGTACCCACTTTTTAACAGAAAAAAGTCGACATAAACATTTATTCGAACGATGATTACATAGTTGATTAATAAAAAGCCCAAAAAGCAAAAGAACTTGGTGAATGGTACAAGGAGATCAGAAGAACCCATAAAAGCAGGAAAAAAACCAGATCAGTTTCACTTACCATGAACAAGTGCAATCGCTAATTATATAGATTTAATTCTAAAACTATAAATAGAAACATTAGCATATATAGTTAGTAATAATTATAATCAAAAGTGGAGTTTGTGTGCTAAAGAGGAAAGTTAATAGAATCCTGTCCGTGCGAGATATCCACAGTTTCTATAGAGTAGAAAGAGTGTAAATAGTTTTCCACTGACTAGACTAGAGTTCATGATGGTTATAATGCCCGGGAAAAACTCTGATCCATGCAATGATGGAAATATGTCGTATAGGAATGGAACAAAGGAGAGAATCTGAAAATAGATGAATTGACCAAATACAAAAAGTTACATTTTGAACAATGTAAAGATCTAATAATAGCAAAATATTACATGGGAAAGGATAAAGAACACGTTGATCAGCTTGAGGTTCCATGTAATTTGCTGTCGCTGGCTTGACATATTCTCCTGATTACTGTAAAATCAAAAATAGTTTGAAACGTATTTGCATTAGAGTACCTGAACAGTTCTTGACATTCGTTGTTAATTAATGGAAGCTTTTCACTTTCTACAAGCTTAGTCAGCTTATAATTACAGTAAGCAACGATCAGACATGGCACCAGGATTACTGTCACGGCTTGGTTTATGTTCAGGAATCGAACAACATCAGTGGAGAAATATTCGCTCAGCTAGAGATATATTCATTATTAATCTCTATTTGGTGTTCCCCAAGATTAGTGAGGAAAAAAACTGTACAATTAGCTTGGAGACCAATTTCGTTCCATTGCAACGGAATGCTGTCATCAGCTCATAAAGCACAAAATGATAGGATGAAATTAGGAATGACCAGGATACGACAACAGCCAAAAACACATTGCCATACCATCCAGGGGTGAAGTACTATATTATTATATATAATATTTATTATAAATAGATATTGTTTTACCTTTACAAGAGAAGAACATCGAGCTCTCAAATAACATTCTGCGCAAATGGCAACTGTCAGATAAACTTCGATCGCAGAAAAAACATTCGACCAGGCATTTATGAAGATTTTTGAGTAGTGCATGAATCTTCTATAATATAAATCCTTTATATTATTTTTCTTTTTTGCAGCTGATAACTGACCGACAGCTTTCATTCTCATAAAAGAACTCAAAGGTTACGAGAGACTGTGGAAGCATTGTGAGAAGAAGACAGAAATCAGCCACTCCAAGTAAAATTATTGTTCGTTGTGCCTAAATGGATATGGATAACAGCTTTACAACGATAATATTATTAATAATATTTCCTTTTAAGCCTCACATCTCATTTGCATATTCCCATTTATGGATATTTCTAATTTTGCATTTGCTAAAATGATTATGTTGGAGAAAAAAAAAGGTACAAACGACTAATAATCTAATAGACTTGTTAACACCAACTCATTACTATATTTGGTTAGTTTAATGATGTTAAACTACTCTTGACGTCACAAACAGATTATTGAGAGCAATATGCTTTAAGGTGATTGATAAGATACTAAGAAACTTCTATCATCTCAATTAAACTTTCCACCCCCCTCACACCTCCTCCCCCCCATTTCTCGTGCAAACCTCATAAATGATCTTATTTATTTCATTTTATGACGTCAAGAAAGGAAAACGTAGTCAAAAAACAACAGGAAATTCAGAATAGCTCAAGATTTATCTGAACATCATACGAGTATTTGAAGTTTTCAAATTTTTTCTTTTTTTTCTTCGTTCCGACTCTTCTACAAATTTCTCGGAAAAAAACTAAACTTTCAACTACAAAATACGATTGAGCACAATTCATTCGTGTTTTCTGTAAGAAGAGTACCTCTCTCCCCCCCTCTCTCTCTCTCTTCCACTCCCCCACTTCACTACCCTCCTAACCTCTTTCTCAACATTTCTCTCTCTCTCTCTCTATCCTTCTTTTTTCATTTTGAGATTATTTTTTTCATATTAATGAAACAAACAATTATATTGTAACGTCGACAGATGAGATCCTTGATAGCGTAGTAAGCCATGATGAAGAGGGAGATCATTTGGCCAGGAAAAACATAGTGTTGAAGTGGAATATCCACATGTGAATTAATCATCGGACCGCGGAGACATTCTTCACTCATTTTTGAGATTTGATCCAAGCACAATCTCAGTGAGCTTTTTGCTTCTTTGATCGAATTTGTTCTGCAAAAAAATGAAAAAAATTTTTTGAATAATTAATCGAAAGAGGCAAATGGTCAAAAAATAAGAATGAAAGATTATTCAGATGGTGCAATGTGTGAGAATGAAATGGGCGTCACAACGCTCATAGCATGTTTTACGAGTTTGAATGAAAGCTGATTAGCAGGATTATGGATAAGCTTTAGATTGAAACTTCTTTGAGCTGCGAGCGATGTTTTAAAAAAAAGTGAGGGATTAAACGAGAAATATTGAGAGAAAATAGGCTCTTGCCATTTTGTTAAAACAGAAAGGCGGAGCAAGTTGTGATTGGTCAGCTCCGCCTACCTTAAAAAAAGAATAGAAAGAGAGTGACAGAGATATGAAGAAAGAAAGAGAGAGACGTACAGGGTAAGAAAGACATAAAGAGAGAATGAGAGAAAAAGAACCAAAAAAGGTAAAAATAAATAAGCGTTGGAAGGAGGACCAATCAAATTCCACGAAGTTGAAAATGATGAAAGAAACTAGAGAAAACGTGACATGATGAATTTAAACGTGATCTCCCCCTGGTTATTTTTCCTCGTTCTTACCTTTTGGGTTTTCACGAAATAAAAAAGAATTAATGAGTCATTAGTAGCAGACCAATTTTCGTCATGTAAGGCAATGAAACTTTACAATTTTCATGCACAAATATTTTTGAAATTTTCTATTCTGTTAAGGTTCTTTCTCACATCATTGGCCTGTTCTGCCGTGCACCTACTGTTATGAGGTAAATAAGTTCGAATTCTTTAATCGAATTCTCAAATAAGTAGTTGGAAGAGAGGGGGGAGAAGGGAGGATGGTTAATCTTTCCTCTCCCTAAACAATGACTATTCACACAAAAATTTGTTATAAATCATCATCAAACTCAAAACTTCAAAAAGGGCAGAAAAAGCCATATAAGGAGAAGATGACTAAAAAACCCGTTTGAAGCGATTGCGAGGTCATCACTGTCAATTTTTCGATGATGAAGCCTTAGGTGAAAAGCAACGTTGTTTTTCTTTTTCCTTTTTTTACTCTGATTAAAGAAAAAAAAATTTCTTTCGCAAAACCGTTTTGTCGTAACAGTTCGCAAACTTTTTTCTCTTCAAGTCCTTCTCTCTCTCTCTCTCTCTCTCTCTCTCTCTCTATTCTTTATTCTCTCTCAAATATTCTTTCGTTTCGACCATCACCCCCTCTTTCCTTTCTCTCTCTATAATATTCCACAGTTCAAATCTTTAGTCCAATCCTATCCACTTCCTCTCCGTTTTCGCTACTCATCTCATCATCACTTCGGACAAACTACTTTTTCCGAAACCACAATTTGATAGAAAAAAAAAGAATGAAATAGCTAAAAATAAAACAACAAAACAAACAAGATTGTTGAAAGAAACAAAAATCTCCCAAAAAAAGGTTAAAAAGGAGTTAATCGATTATCACGGAAAATACAAATTGATTGATAACTTATTTAGAACAGCGTGGGAGTTGCTTATTGATTGTCTTGTACAAATTGAAGTAAATTACATATAATTAATAGAAGTAGTGAGGAGGAGAAGAGAGAATGGGTCAATGATCAAACAAGGAAACATCATTTGAACTGCTCCAAATCATAATTGTTTTGTTTTTGATTTGTTTTGCTTGACATGGGGGAGGTGGAAGGGAGAGAGAGAGAGAGAGAGAGAGAGAAAAGAGTTCGAAGAAACTATTCCGGGAAAGAACATGTATTGTTTCCATTTCCCTTTTTATGCACAAAAGTGTTTTTTTTTAACAGAAAAAAAAAACAACAACAAAGTGTACAGATGAGGAATAATATGGTTTCAAAGAAAGAACTCGAAACTGGTGTGACTAACGCAGAAAAGGTGTTTCTAATGCGCAGCAGAAGGTAAAGGGGGAAGTTCTTTTTGACTAAAATATTTCCAGCAGAGAAGGAGAGAAAGAGGTGGAGAAGAAGATTGAAATAGCTTGTGATACTTGTAAGAAAAGCTAGAAGTTTAAAAATTACAAAAAGCTACAAATGGGATTAGTAAAGTTGACTTTCTCAGGGTCAGTCCCCCCATGAATGAGAATATTGTGAATGTCAATGAAATAGGTCAACGGAATTCTTGTAAAATTTTCTTTTTTCCCCCAAAATTAAAAGTTTCTGGAAGCTTTCAGAGGGATTCGTTTCTCGATCACAAAAGATTTGCATTGAACAAACCAGCTACTCATTATAATCTTTTAATAGGTATTTAATATGTTTTTAAAAGATTACATGTTCATCTTTAATCATAGAACGAATTGGTTTAGGCAAAAGACATTTTTTTTATTTGAAACATACGAGTAAGAGAGTGATGAAAACAAAAGAAAAACGAATAATCCGCTTAATGTTCTGCCATATTCATTAAGATTTACTTTTCCGTCAAAGGATACGAGGGATTGACTAAGATGGGCAAGTAAGTAGAGAGAATAAACGAACTATACGACTGAGAGAGAGGAGGGAGAGGAACAAGCACTCTGGTTTGAGGCTTAACAGGTTTCATGAACATCCAATTTTGTTATAAAATAAGATTTAATGTTCATACATGTTGACGTATGAAGATTAAGAAAATGTTTTTTTTTCGAAGCAGAAGAAAGAAATCCTTTCAACGAATTGTAATGAGAAAATGAAAAGCAGTTGTTGAGCTGCTTATGATTCGAATCGAACTAGATTCTCATTTTTTGGAAGCCAAATATGGTATCTCATTAGAGAATAACATATTGGCCGGAATACATGAAAGGAAGCTTCATCTTCAATTTCAGTAACTGACATTTTAAGAATGAATAACAAGACGAAATAAAAGAAAGGAAAAGAGTGGGTTGGAAATTCTGGAGCGGAAAAAGATCCACTTTATGAGGGCGACGTTGGCGAAGAAGATGAGAAGTTTGGTAAAGCTTTTGGGAGAACAAGCCTGTCTGTTTATCACTCGTGATGTCATTCCTTAATTAGGTGTGGTAGGACGATAGGAACACTTGTCTTTAGCTTGTTTCATGACGATGTAATAACTGTATTTGCAAGTTTCACTTTTTTCGCCACCAGTCTTCTGCCTTCTCAAGTTTATCTAAGTCTGTCCTCTCAACTTTCAGAAGCTTCAGAGGTGTGACGACACGACGCACATTGATAAGTCATGTCTTCATAAAGTACGGATAGAAAAACGGTCGGTGGTTAAAAGAAAACTCGTTAAAGAAATCGGCTGAACATGAACTAAAATGCGGGAAAATGTGTGAATGTGTTTCTTATCAAATCTCAAAAAATGACATTTCATGACAACAGAAATGTAATTATTTAGAATAGTATTACACCACGCTCTCTACCTACTGCAGCCACCAGGTGAACTTCAACTTCATCTTTGAACCTATACTGAAGCTTCTTCATCTAGACCAACTTTAACCCTTCTTAGAAAGCATGAGAACCTTTCCTCAATATGCTTTTTCGCCTTATAATTTCCAGAAAAAACATCATCAGTTTCAGTCACAATTCTTTTAGTTAGCCGTAATCTACACAACATTCCCACCAACAGCAGCAGATACAGCATTCCACGAAAGTGATCAACATACCCACCCTTACAGAATCATCTGGCAACATTCAGTCAGTTTTTGAACTATCCCATATTATGAATGAATAGTAAGAACAAACAATTTTCTGAGAAAACCGATAAATTCCTGTTATGTTTTCTCCACACTCTTTCTATGACAAACACAAATTCTTAACTATATAATTAG